ACCACGCAGCGGGTCTCCTCCCCCAAGCAGTCGCCCAGCCGCCTCGCCAAATCCTACAGCACCAGCTCGCCCATCAACATCGTCGTCTCCTCGGCCGGGCTCTCGCCGTCCCCGATCCGGGTCACCTCCCCGCCCACCATCCAGTCCAACATCTCCTCTTCGCCCATCCATCAGCTGAGCTCCACCATCGGCACCTACGCGACGCTCTCGCCCACCAAGAGGCTGGTCCACCCTTCGGAGCAGTACAGCAAGCATTCCCAGGAACTCTATGCCACCGCCACCCTGCAAAGACCGGGAAGCCTAGCCGGTGAGTTGAGCCCTTTTTCCTCTTTCTTCTCCGTACTGCTGTACTTTGCTGCCCGAGCTTGTACGCAAGGCTGTTTCCACGGTTGGTTGGTTGGTTGGTTGTGCGACCCTCCTTGTTCTTGTTGCGCTGATGATATTCATAATGGTGATCAGCTAAAGGGAGTCTGCGTTGGAGAGATAGTGCTTGCTTATATAGTTTGCCCCTGAAGGCCTAATGTGTTGTCCTTAACAATCAGACAGTCTTTAGAAGTAACAATGAATAAGAAATAGTGTAATTTCCTATCTGTGTTTGCTCAGCAGTTCAATTGCTATTGATTCAAACGTCTGTCAAATGAATATATTTGGGATTGTAGCCTTTGACTCTGACACCTTGATGCTGCTGCTTCTGCTGGTGATTCTCCCATACTCCTCCAATGTATAAAAAATCGGATTTAGTTAAGATTGTAATTCCTGCTCCCTCATTATTGAAACATCTGACTACTTTTTGAAATCCCCATTTATTGATTCATTCATCCATTTGATTGGTATGCAGTCATTTTTCCAGTATTAAAAATAATCCATCTTTAATTTAGCTTATTTAAAAAAAAAATAAAAGCAAAAGACCACTAAAGGCATATATTGCCACTTTGATGAACTGATAAGAATATATTGCTGTCTATAAGTTTATGGGTTAAACAAATTTTGCAGTGCTTTTAATAATGCCAAGTATGTATTTGTGCTTCATGTACATTCTGTTTTCTCCCTCAGTTAGGAGGTAATGACTAATACTTCTTTAAACCACAGTTAAAAAGCCATTATTGATCTAATAGTTTGATAACTAATGTGTGTTTCTGTCAATGGGGAATTTTTGTTCTTTTATTTTAGAGATATTGCTATAGCAACACTGTCATATTCATGTGTTCTCTTGTCTGATTTGTATGCCTAGATATTACAATTAAGAGAATTCAGATGACAGAGGGTTTCTGCTAGTATCAAACAGGTATTCAAGTCCTTCCAGTCAAAGAAAAAGAAATATTAATCAGCAATGTATTCAAACACTGTTGTATGACACAGGGCTGTATTGTTCACCAGGTTAGTGGGCAGTTTGCAGTGCTTAATAGTCTTAATGTTCTGGGTGTGGTAGATGGCATTCATGTGAACATTCATCCTGAACTAAGGCTCAGTGAAGTTTGTGGGATATGCCTGGAATTGTTTTGCTAGATAAGTAGTCTATTTGCCAGTGAACTAGGTGTGTCCCCAATTAGTTCCATAGCACTATCTTGAAGATTAGAGGGAGGGAGAGTGAATTCTCAGTTTGTATGTTTGGCAGTTTGCAGATTTTGAATATCACGGATTGGTGTCTTGCCTGAAAATTCACAGACCAAGTTGCTGGTGCCTGCCTTAAGCCATACAGCAAAGGCTACGGTTTAACTTCTATAGAGCTGATGTCAAACGTTCATGATTTCTTTAATGTAGAAAGTTGCCTTTTACTGAGCCAGGCCATTGGTCAGTGTAGCTTCTTGTGGTCTGTGCATGGACTGGCAATAGAATTCTGTGGGTTGGCTGGTTTGTTGGTTTGCTTGTTCGTTTTTGGTTGGGAGGCTTTCCCAGCTACTATCTGATGACGTCAAGGATGAAACTGGTACTTCTGCTTACAAACCGTGTGCTCTACATTTCATCAATGGCCTTTCAACATAATTGGAAGGTTTCTCCCCAGTTCAAACATCATAGTCATATTCTAAATGTTTAAACCTTTTTCTTTGCATTTAAATAATCTTTCTGTGATCTTTCATGTCTTGGTTTGTTTCTTGATGATAAATATCATGGGCCAACATGTGAGTTGATTGTGTGACAGCATCAGCCAGTTTAAGGTTGTAATTGCAACCCATCTTGTTCATCCTCTTTGAAACATGGGCTTTTCCTTGTTTCCAGTGCTCTACCTCTCTTCCGCTTGTTCTGTCCCAGGTCTTCTGCTTTAAATGTCTAACATTCCCTTCCCCCCCCCCATGGTACCCTGCTTCATTTGGCCTTCCTTATTACCTTTTTATTCCTTTTGAGGTTTTCTTCCCCTCCAGATCTCTTCAGGTTTCTCAGGTTCCTATTTCTCAGTCCACTAGCTATGCGATTCTTTTCAATAGCTTGTCTCTGGATCCGCTTTCCTAAGCTCCCTTTGCTATTCAATCTGTCTTTGATACAATCACTCCTCAGCCAAATGGTGCCAGAGGCTTTGTTGCTCTGCCAAATCCCTGACTGTGTTACAATATAGGTGTTCAAGAATACTGAAACATTTCCTGCTGATTCAGTGAAGTACTGTTCCAACACTATCACTCATAAGATCAGGTCAAAAGTTTCATTTAGGAGGTTTGATTTAAACGTTTTCAGCTACAGAAGGACTGTGGGCATAAGAGTTTTTGTTTGAAACAAAAATGGGATAGTTTCCATCTGGATTTGGGCCATTTAGATGAGTGTCATTATGCAGCTACTTTAATTACAGGAATTTATATACATGTTTAAGTATTGGCATTATGGTTCTGTATCTGTGGGGGTGAAATGTTTGTGCCTTTAATTTACATGCAATTTACTGATGTAGGTAATGAGCAGGTTTCGGTCCTCCTTGTCATGAACTCCTTATTGGGAGTTGAAGGATTCCCATTTGGCCTTTGATGTCCTGACTGGTGGTGGAGACCAAATGTTCCTTCATGCAGTTCTGCAGGCCAAGAGTGACTGGCAATGTAGCCAGTACTGAGCTGTGAGGTCCAATTGTCTGATTTAGTAGTCTAGTCTAAGCCTTACAGTCCTCGTTCCTAAATATTCTGTAATTCTGAATTATAAAAACATGGAAGTGCAAAATTTATGTTTGTTTTATTTATTGTGAATCCTCAAGATATGACAGGAGATCAATTACACATAGTAATTCTTGGAGAGTACATTTAATGTAGTTATTTATTTGTATTAAAAACGAATAAACTACTTCCCCAAAAGCTATATATTGACACATACAGTTTTCAACCCAAGAAGAAGTGACATATTATTCTTAAACTTCAGGAGCAATCTGTTAAAGCAGGGGTCTCAAACGTGCGGCCCGGAGGCCATTTGCGGCCCCCCAGATGATAGTTTGTGGCCCTCGCCTTGCCTGCCCCCCCAAAGCGCCCACACATACTTTGCTGTTAAGAGTAAAAAAAAAACCTTGCCTCGCTCGCCGGCTCTCTCCCAAGACAGCACCTCTTGCACCCTCCATCCAGAACTACAGCCTGCCAGCCAGCCCGCCTGTCTGTCGGCTAAGGGAACTCCTGGGCGGCTTCCTCGGGGTCTTGCTCTGCTTGGCGGAAAATCTGATGCGGCCCAGCCTCACCCAGACTCTGCCTCTAGCGGCCCCCAGGTAAATTGAGTTTAAAACCCCTGTATTAAAGGATTACTTCCAGTGGCTAGTCACTTGATAAATGTTTTTATAAGTGAAAGATCTCTTTCAGAATACAGTCGTGTCTCGCATTACGTTAATTCGTTCCACCTAAATCGCTGTAGAACGAAAATGTCATAATGTGAAAATAAAAAACCCATTGAAACGCATTAAAACCCGTTTAATGCGTTCCAATGAGCTAAAAACTCACCGCCCAGAGAAGATCCTCCATAGGGCAGCCATTTTCGGTGGCTGTCTTGCGAGGAATCCATCCCAGAAAACAGCAGGGACCCATTTTATTTACCCGGCAGCCATTTTGAAACCGCCAATCAGCTGTAGGAAAATCATCGTTTTGTGAAGAATCGGTTCCCGCAGCAGGGAACCGATCATCGCAAAGCAAAAAAAGCCTATTCAGACCATCGTTTTGCGGTCGCAAAAACGTTGTCGTAATGCGGTTTTGTCTTAATGCGGGGCAGTCATAAAGCGGGGCACGACTGTACTGGAAATGTATTCTTTGTCATTAGCTTTTTCACATGAATGGCTTATTGGCTGGCTCAGTTGCTGCAGGGATCACTGAGATGAAACCATCCCAGAGACTGGCTGTGACTGACCTCACCCAGGCTAATCACATTTAAAATGCTCTTACTTTTAAGGTTTGCCTTCAGCCCAAAACATATGAGCCCAGGTGGTTTTAAGATTGAAACATTTAAAAAATCTTTATTATAACATAACAACTGGTGAAACGAAACAGAATTCAACTGAAGTTTACACTTAGTTACATGCTAGCTCTCAAACCTTCATCCTGCTTCCCCAACATAGAAAATAACACTCAAGTTAAAGCCCACTCTTAAAACAAGACCTCCCTACTCAAGATACAATTTAACTCTTCCTTCTCTTCAGCCTTTTTCATTTCTACCTCCTGCAGGTTCTTCTTGATTGGCTCTCCTCCTGCCTTCTTTCAGCCAGTCACCTTATTTCTATCCTTGCTAGGTGGAACTCACAAGGTTTCTGTCATATTGGCACTAGCAATCTCTCCTTCTCCACACTGTATCCTTAATATGTAATTCTAATTATGAGTCTTCTGAAGTTGGTGACTAGACCCTGATCACGCACTATATTTTTAGATAAAGTGTGAATATGACAAACATTTTCTCTTTTTTTGCAAACATATTTATGCTGGTGTTAGAGAGGTAGTATTAGCATTTTAGGTGTTGATACATGGGTTCTTTATTGGGTAAGATGTGGAACAGCCCTTTTACCTTAGTTGCAGGTTACTGCAATGTGAATAAGATTGTACTACTGTATAGCTCAGTAGCTGAGGAGTTGCAAGTTCAGTTCCCCACTGTGCCTCCTTGAGAGGGGCTGGGCTCAATGATCCCTTCCAGCTTTGCAGTTCAAAAGTTACGTATGTTATGTTTGAATATTGCTTGTTTGTAGCACTATGCATGTTTTGATCATTAATCTCAATTGTTGTAGCACATCAAGTCAAGCTTTTTCACTAACCTTACCTCACCTTATCCTCTGTCAAAAGATAACATTACATGGAAACATTGCTTTTTAAAACTTATAACTCTCAGAAACCCACAGCCACCATTGATGGTGATTGTGCTTGCTGCAGATTTAGG